AATAAATAAATGAGTGGCCTCTCTCCTCCTTCTCCCCTGCTCCGCTTCCTCCCCCTCCGCCTTTTCTCCCTCCCCTCCCCCTCCACTCTGCTTGGCACCGGGCTTGTTTTGCATCTTGTCTTCTGGTTCCAATCCATCCCTCCCACCCTCTCCCAGTACAGCCCAGGGTGGGCAGCATTGCCACCGAGAAAGTCACCCCACACTGCTGCTGCTGCCATGGATTTCTGCCTTTGTTCAACACGCCACCCAGGGCTCCGTTTGGTGCTCTGCGGCAGGATTCACGGCGCTCTAAGAGCTGGCTGATGGAATGGGGGTGGGAGGAGGGAGGAAAAGGAGAGGAGGGAGATTTTCTAAGCAAATGGCTTCTTGGATCATTGGCGGGGCGTTAAAAATCCTTCCGGAGCACCTAAAACCGAAGCCTTCTGCAAATGGATGGAAAGGCATCAGCTGTGGACCTGCAGCTGTGGCCAGCAGCTCGAGTTGCTAGGGAACAGCCCCGAAAATGTTTTGTCTTCCTGCTTCTGATCTGGATCCACCTGGGATTTCCAAGTCTGGGGCTACTGCCAGTCTGTGGTTCCAACAACAAGGACCAGTGGAAGCAGGAAAGCAGCCCAGTCGGGTTTCAGGGCACCAAACAGGCATCAGGAGGTTCTGGACGAGCATGCGCCCACAGGCTTGTCAATCAGCTAAGGTTGGCCCCATTTGGACCCAGAGCTGGTTGGTCCTGAACCTAATATCCTTGCTCTGTGGCTCCTCCTCCCCCTTCTCCGAGTTTCTCTTGACCATACCACTCTCCAGGAGCATCTTCTGCCCATGTTCATGCTCTTTGAGGATCAGAGACAAGGGATCCTCCCCTATTCCACTGCACATCAGAAATTCTGAGGAGCTAGGTAACTATCGAAAGTTGGGTCCAAAGAAATAAGAAATCTGGGGACAGAGCAGGACCTGGTTCTGTTTACAACACATCCCTAGATGTGAACTGTCTCAGATTTGAACTCAATGTCCAGATTTTTAAGAGGCCGAGAAAATACTTACTGAGCAGGTGGGGCCAGAGTTAAGTGGCAGAAAGAGGCAACTTGTGGTCTCATCACACCTCTGCTCCTGGGGACTGCTAGACAAGACACTGACTCCACTGAGCCTCAGTTTCCTAATCTATAAAATGGGCGGCCAGAGGGAGAATCTAGTAAATTAGTGTACCATAAGTTCAAAGCCCAGGTGGTGCTTCTAGCTCTTAGGCCTGGGCCCAATGTATCTACAAGGCAATTCCTTCTCCACTTCCTACCTGCCACCTCACCCTACCTCACTCACCACTGCCTCTCTGTGCCCACATAAGTCTGCAAGTGTGTCCAAGAGTTGTGATCTTGCTCACTTGCCTTCTGCCCTACCGTCCCTGATTCCACTGGAACCTGCCTGAACTTTCTCTTCTGAGCTTATGTCAGACTTTGCCCTACTGGTGAGGAGCTGGCCGAGGTCTCAGACCTTCCAGACGTACCCCAGCCTCCACAGGCTCAGCATACCTAAGAGCTGGGTGTAAATCCCTCTTTGCAGGAGGTAAAACTGAGGCTTGGAGGTTTCATCTGTGGCTGCACCCACAGAGCATCTGGGGCTCAGATCTCAGCTACTTTGACCCTTGAGTGACTGTCACCTGGGCAGGAGTGCGCTCGTCCCACCATGATGCTTCGCTGACACCAGAGGGGCACAAGGATTCAGGAGATACAGCTTTCAGAATCAAGCAAATTGCCCAGTCTAAGGTCTAGTGAGGGCCAGGAGACCCACAGCTCTCTCCTGTATCCTTGAGGACACCCAAGCAGGCATGGCAACTTCAAGATGATACAGAATCGAGAAGCTAGGAGAAAAGGGGAGACAGAGCCTGTGCTCTGATTTAAGGGTCCAGTCAGCAAAGATGGAACCACTGAAGGGCTGACTTGAGGGTCTCTGAATAGCAGTGTAGAGTGTAGATGTGTTTGTCTACCAGTGTGTATGTATCTCTGTATGTGTGTGTGTGTGTATGTGTCTCTATGTGTGTGTGTGTTTTTTGTCTATGCATCCCTCTTGTGTATCTGTATCTCTGTGTGTATCCCTTTGCCCCTTGTGTGTGTATGTATGTATGTCTGTGTGTATCCCTTTGTATGTGTGTGTCTGTATGTGTCTATGCCTGTGTATTTCTGTGTGGTCCCACCCTATCCCCTGTGTGTGATCCCTGTGTGTGTGTCTGTGTGTGTGTGTATGTGTATTTGTGTATATGTCTCTGTGTGTATGTGACTTTGTGTGTCTGTCTGTGTGTGTCTGCACCTGTGCATGTCTGTTCACCTCCAGGGGTGTGTGTGTGTGTGTGTGTGTGTGTGTGTGTGTGTGTGTGTGTATGTGTGCAGAGCCTGGGACATCCCTGGAAATCCAGAGGGCCAGAGGAGGCCTGCCCCATGGATGGATGTGCCAGCATCAGAGGACAACTTAAAGTTTCCAAGAGTAGAGAAGACTGAGCTCAAAGAGCCCAAAAGTGGTGTCCTTCTTCTCTGTCTCCTTAAGAGACAGCACATCACTGGCCACAAAGATTCCGTGATGGCTGCGTGGAGTGTGGGAATCTGGGTCAGACTCTGAGCTCGGGACAGAAGTTGCTCAGAAAGAAGGTAACTGGTGTCGCCTGGGCTCTCTAGCCTTTCTTGTTTCCCCAGGACTTGTCCTGCCTCTAAATTCTTCAAGCTTCTTGAAAATCTGCAGTTGAAGTGAAACTCCATTACAGTCACTTGTGTTTGTATTCAGGCATCTGTACTGGCCTGACCTTGTGGGTATCCACTCTCCGCTGTAGACACTAACAGTAACACCTGTGCACATTCACCACCTTTTAAAAGGGCCCTGCCCACCTCCTCTATCTATCTATCTATCTATCTATCTATCTATCTATCTATCTATCTATCTATC